CAGAAATGAGATTGGACATCCAACGTGGTTGTCGGTGAGTCAGGTGTCGGCCTGCCAACGCTCTCTTCTCCCGCGTTGAGAATAAATGCTTCAGTTGACTTATTGAAGGCCGGCACATTGATGCGTGGTCTGCACTCAGGTGAAAATGACATCCAGGCGCAGAAGAAGACGGAATTCACACGAAGAGCTTGTGGTGACTGATGGAAGCGCGGGAGGCTCCAGTGCACCTAACTTACTCACTGCAGGTATAATTACTTCAAACAGGTAGAAGTGAGTGGTGTCAGGAAGCAGAAGGAGCCAATGATGCGAAGAAGATGATCTATCCGTATCACATGGTTCTGGAGCCCACTGTGGCAGCAAAATAATTACATGTGCAAAACTGATGACTAGAAAATCGGTTAACCTTTTGTTCCCCTACGTGACATATGTCCATGGGCGGCAGAGCCTTCCATGCTGAGAGCACACTCGGTCTATACTAATCATCACGAGTCGGCAGGACCGCCTTCCGATCATGTGACCACTTACCCAGACTGACATTACAACTCTCCTGCTTGCCACCCAACAAAACCCTTGCCTGGACCTGACGACTCTCCTGCTTGCCACCCAACAAGACCCCTGCCTGGACCTGACTGCTCTCCTGCTTGTTACCCAACCAAGACCCCTGCCTGGACCTGACTGCTCTCCTGCTTGTTACCCACCAAGACCCCTGCCTGGACCTGACTGGTCTCCTGCTTGTTACCCACCAAGACCCCTGCCTGGACCTGACTGTATCTCTCCTTCTTGTTACCCACCAAGACTCTTGCCTGGACCTGACTGCTCTCCTGCTTGTTAACCACCATGACCCCTGCCTGAACCTGACAACTCTCCTGCTTGCTACACCCAACAAGACTCCTGCCTGGACTTGACTGCTCTCCTGCTTGCTACCCACCAAGACCCCTGCCTGGACCTGACTACTCTCCTTCTTGCCACCAACCAAGACCCCTGCCTGGACTTGACTGCTCTCCTGCTTGCCACCCAACAAAACCCCTGCCTGGACCTGACTACTCTCCTGTTTGTTATCCACCCCAACAAGACCCCTGCCTGGACCTGACTGCTTTCCTGCTTGCCACCTACCAGCACCCCTGCTTGCCACCCACCAAACACACCTGCCTGGACCTGATTGCTCTCCTGTTTGCCACCCACCAAGTCCCTTGCCTGGACTTGACTGCTCTCCTGCTTCTGGACTTGACTGCTCTCCTGCTTGACACCCACCAGGACCCCTGCCTGGACCTGACTGCTCTTCTGCTTGCCACCCACCAAGACCCCTGCCTGGACTTGACTGCTCTCCTGCTTGCCACCCACCAAGACCTCTGCCTGAACCTGACTGCTCTTCTGCTTGACACCCACCAAGACCCCTGCCTGGATCTGACTGCTCTCCTGCTTGACACCCACCAAGACCCCTGCCTGGACCTGACTGCTGTCCTTCTTGCCACCCACAAAGACCTCTGCTTGGACCTGACTGCTCTCCTGCTTGCTATCCAATGAGACCCTGCCTGTACTTGACTGTTCTCCTGCTTGACACCCACCAAAACCCCTGCCTGGACCTGACTGCTCTCCTTCTTGCCACCCACAAAGACCCCTGCCTGGACCTGATTGCTCTCCTGCTTGCCACCCATCAAGGCTCCTGCCTGGACTTGACTGCTCTCCTACTTGCCACCCAAAAAGAACCCTGCCTGGACATGACTACTCTCCTACTTGCTACCCACCAAGACCCCTGCCTGGACCTGACTGCTCTCCTGCTTGCCACCCACCAAGGCCCCTGCCTGGACCTGAATGCTCTGCTGCTTGCCACCCACCAAGACCCCTGCCTGCACCTTCAAAGTCCTTCTAAGTCTTGTTAAAATTCAGTGAGCCCTTATGAAGGGACAGCCTTTCTAGTCCCAAAAATGTGTAGCATTTATATGTGATAATACTAAGAACAATTAAAACACACTTTGAACTCCAAGACCCGAAGAACCATTTTGTCTGGTGCCGTAATAAAAGTCCAGTATGTGGTAGAACGGGAAGACGCTCAGCATAGGTATTATCCGCAAACAGCCTATTCAAGACGGATTGTGTCATCTACAGATTGATGAGTGGTCTTCACCTAGTTCATCTGAAGGCCACACCAAGTTTGGAGGTCTTTAGCTATTGACTCTGCAGACAGTTGGCGACTTCTGCGCACTGTGCGCTTCAGCATGCGCTGTCCCCGCCCTGTCATGTGACCTGGCCTACCACTTGGTGGCTGAGTTGCTGTTGTTCCCAGTTGCTTCCACTTTGTTATAATTGTTGAGCGTGGAATATTTATAGCCAGAAAAAGTCCAGATGGACTTAACAGGTGGCCCAACCTGCAGCCACTTGTTACCAACCTTTGGCTTGAACTATTTGAACCCAACCTGTACTGCCAGCTTTGGAAAAAGTCACAGATGGACTTATTGCCCAGGTGGCCCAACCTGCAGCCACTTGTTACCAACCTTTGGCTTGTTCATCAACTACGCTTCTTCTTGAACCCAACCTGTAACCACTGATTACCGAGCTTTGGATTGTTCATCGACTATGCTTCTTCTTGAACCCAACCTGCAACCACTTGTTACCAACCTTTGGCTTGTTCATTACGGTTTCTTCTTGAACCCAACCTTGATTACCGAGCTTTACGCTTCTCTTCTTGAACCCAACCTGCAACCACTGATTACCGAGCTTTAGATTGTTCATCGACTATGCTAACCATGCTTGCTTGAACCCAACCTGCAACCACTTGTTACCAACCTTTGGCTTGTTCATCAACTACGCTTCTTCTTGAACCCAACCTGCAACCACTTGTTACCGAACCTTTGGATTGTTCATCGACTACGCTTCTTCTTGAACCCAACCTGCAACCACTTGTTACCAACCTTTGGCTTGTTCATCATCGACTATGCTTCTTCTTGAACCCAACCTGCAACCACTTGTTACCAACCTTTGGCTTGTTCATCAACTACGCTTCTTCTTGAACCCAACCTGCAACCACTTGTTACCACCTTTGGCTTGTTCATCAACTACTATGCTTCTTCTTGAACCCAACCTGCAACCACTTGTTACCAACCTTTGGCTTGTTCATCAACTACGGTTCTTCTTGAACCTAACCTGCAACCACTGATTACCGAGCTTTGGATTGTTCATCGACTATGCTTCTTCTTGAACCCAACCTGCAACCACTTGTTACCAACCTTTGGCTTGTTCATCAACTACGCTTCTGCTTGAACCCAACCTGCTATATCTGCTAGTGGCCCTCAGTTTGCTCACCTCTTGGTGGGGGGATCCTGAGGACCATTTCCTTGTACTAACATGCAGCAAAATCCATCTCCACCAGGAGTTCTCATGAAAAACAGTTAGTGCTTAGACCCCTCACCTCGGGTGAGCCTGTATTATCCACCAGGGTGACCTGCTTGTGTACTTATCCTGCTGGTTGGTGGAAGCCTCTCTACTGCTATAGCTACTGGCCTCCAAACCTGACCCCTGACCATGGCAAGTCGCCTCCCCAGCTCGATCTCCACTAGGCTCATGGCAGGGGCTCATGTTGTAAACCTTTGAAATGAGGAAGGGTTAGAACGTCTGAAATTTTTTTTTTCTGTGGACTTTGAGCATCACACCTCCATTTCATGTATGTCTGCCATAGGGAAAGAAAGTGATGGCACATCTTTCCAATGAGCTCTCAGAAGAAATAAAAACCTGATAGAAATATCTCCTTTTCTTTACTCAAACTAAAAGAAAAAAAATATCCATAATACAAATGTTTCCACCTGTGGTGACCTAATCAAGAGCAACTGTTGGGCTTCAAAAGCTGCAAGCTTCATTTAGATTCCCTCCATACTTCTGTTGTATAATAACAACAATGTCTCTCTCATTATTACTGACCCCGATCATCGTGACCTTTTTATTTTTTTGGGAAAAACTTCTGTTGCCGGGAGAACTGTGCGAGATGTCAGATGTGACATTTCGATGTTGGCGTTGCTTGCGTTGCCTATCCCTTTTCCTTTTGTGTGTCTTTATTATTGCAGATTGCTTCTGATATGCGATTCTTGTACTCATTCACTGGAAAAATTCCAGGTCAAAGTCAGCGGCCTTTGTATTTGCATTATGCAGTGGAACGTTTTTTCTCAGCTACGTTATTATACGGCGGTAATAACAGCCTGCCTTTCCCATTTGCTCGGGGTGCCGGTGTTACATTATAGTTATTTTTATTCTGAACTCCTTGTCTTTTATTCCTCTTCTGACAGGCGGAGAGTTCCTATTGATAACTGTATCCCCGGTACGGGTCTCGGTGAGCAGAGTCTATGGATACAATCACACCGCTACATACAAACCGTACTTGTCTGATATTTAATAGTGATTGCACTCATTTTATAGGTCATAATGGAAAGTCGCCTGATGGAAGGCATTGAAATTCTGCAGACCATTCGCTATGTCGTTTCCTATTCTAATAACCATTGTTAAAGTACAATCCAGTGTAGCACTTCCCCCTTTGGTGGATTTGAATGGGTTCCCCTATGTTCTGCGTGGTCTGGTAACACATTTTGCACATTTTGCACACTGGAGTCAGCAAACAGTCCTTGAGCTTGGTTTTGTGATTTTATTCGGGGGTTAGACTTGATAGGATAGGGTCTAGGGGTACATGGGGTGCCCGGGAAACTGTATAAGGTGAGGACAACTCCTTAGCAACTATGTGCAAAAATGCGGATTAGCAGCAATCTCTCTTTAAGTAGTTGCCGACCGCAGATAGCCGAATGATGGCTGCACTGCGGCCGGCCAGTTCTGGGTGGACGTCATATGACGTCCTCCCAGAACGCGCTCTCCTGCGCGCCCCAGGGGGCGCGCACCCGGAGATCTCCGTGATCCCTGTGTCCTACGGACACAGCTGATCACGTGATGTGGGTAAAAGGCCAATCACAGCGGCCTTTTACCACGTGATCAGCGGTGTCCAATGACACGCTGATCACAGGGAAATGCAAGTGCCGGTTCTCGGCTGCACTTTCCTCACGCTGTCAGATCGTGAGGAAAGTACTGCCGAGAACCGGCAGTTGTCAGAGCGGGGATCGGCACCAATCATCAGGGCACTGATGATCAGTGCCCTGATGATCGGTGCCCAGCAGTGCCACCCACAAGTTCCACCCACCTGTGCCCAGCAGTGCGCCCACTAGCTCCGCCCACCTGTGCCCAGCAGTGCGCCCACTAGCTCCGCCCACCTGTGCCCAGCAGATCACCCACCTGTGCCCAGCAGTGCACCCACCTGTGCCCAGCAGTACACCCACCTGTGCCACTCTGCAGTGTCACACACCTGTGCCCAGAAGTGCCACCTACCTGTGCCCAGCAGTGCCACCCACCTGTGCCCACCCACCTGTGCCCACCAGTGCCACCCACCTGTGCCCACCCACCTGTGCTGCCCACCTGTTCCCACCCACCAGTGCTGCCCACCAGTGCAGCCCAGCAGTGCTGCCAGTCAGTGCCACCAGTCAGTGCCCAGCGGTTGTGCCAGTCAGTGCCGCCAGTCAGTGCCCAGCAGTGATGCCAGTCAGTGCCGTCTATCAGTACCCATCATCAGGGTCACCTATCAGTGCCGCCTATCAGTGCTGCATATTAGTGCCGCCTATCCGTGACACCTCATTAGTGCTGCCTATCAGTGCCCTTTAGTGCTGCCTATCAGTGCCCATCAGTGCCGCCTATCAGTGCCCATCAGTGCTGCCTATCAGTGCTGCCTCATCAACGCACATCAGTGAAGGAGAAAAATTACCTGTTTGAAAAATTTTATAATAGAAACAAAGAAACTTTTTTTTTTCAAATTTTTTGCACTTTTTTTATTTATAGCGCAAAAAGTAAAGTGCCCAGTGGCGATTAAATACCACCAAAAGAAAGCTCTATTTGTGAGAAAAAAAAAATGATCAAAATTTCATATGGGTACAATGTTGCATGACCGTGCAATGGTTAATCAAAGTGCGGCAGCTCTGAAAGCTGAAAATTGGCCTGGTAAATAAGGGGGTAGAAGTGCCCGGTAGGCAAGTGGTTAAGTAGCACTAAACCCCTTTGGTCTTCCTTCTTAGACCCTGAAAGATTCCTCCTCTTCACCCAGCTGCCTGAGAGTATCTCTGGGCAAGGGGGTCCATTGGTTGGCCATTGAACAGTCCCAGATGAGAAGCTAGTTGGGTCTTGCACCCTCTCCCCTTATCTGGCCCAGGGGGTGTAGGAGTACTCACGATGGAAATTGGTCAAGATCCCTTAGGTATGTGGATCAGCCCCTCCTCACCTCTTCCCACTGCCTTCTAAAAACTTCTCAACCTTCTAGAGCAAGGGGAGGTATCAGCTTCTAGTGCAAGGGGGCCCAAAAGCTATCAATTGAACAGTCCCGAGTGAGAAACTACACCCTGTTCCAAATTATTCTGCAAATTCTATTTAAGTGTCACAAAGATGAAATATTTTGTTTTTCAGTGTAACTCATGGATGGCATTGTGTGTCAGGGCTCTTTTGATCACTGTAAACAATCTCGGACACCTGTGATCATTAGATTGGCTGGTGAGCCCAATTGAAGGAAAAACTACTAAAGGACGGCGATCCCCATTATTAAGCAGAGCGCCATTTTCAAGCAATATGGGGAAGAAAAAGGATCTCTCTGCTGCTGAAAAGAGTGAAATAGTTCGATGCCTTGGACGAGGGATGAAAACATTCGATATTTCAGGAAAACGTAAGCGTGATCATCGCACTATGAAGAGATTTGTGGCTGATTCAGAGCACAGACGGGCTGGTGCAGATAAAGGCACATTGAGGAAGATTTCTGCCAGATCCATGCATCGGATCAAGAGGGCAGCTGCTAAAATCCCATTACATAGCAGCAAACAGATATTTGAAGCTGCTGGTGCCTCTGGAGTCCCACGGACATGAGGTGTAGAGTCCTCCAGAGTCCTGCAACTGTGCAGAAACCTTCTATTCGGCCACCACTAACCAATGCTCACAAGCAGAAACGGCTGCATTGGGCAAAAAAATACATGAAGACTTATTTTCAAACAGTCCTGTTCACTGATGAGTGCCGTGCAACCCTGGATGGTCCAGATGGGTGGAGTAGTGGATGGTTGGTGGACGGCCACCCTGTTCCAACAAGGCTGCGACGTCAGCAAGGTGGTGGTGGAGTCATGTTTTGGGCCGGAATCATGGGAACAGAGCTGGTCGGCCCCTTTAGGGTCCCCGAAGGTGTAAAGATGACCTCTGCAAAGTATGTGGAGTTTATGACTGACCACTTTCTTCCCTGGTACAGAAGGAAGAACTATGCTTTCCGTAATAAAATCATCTTCATGCATGACAATGCGCCATCTCATGCTGCAAAGAATACCTCTGCATCAATGGCTGCTATGGGGATAAAAGGAGAGAAAGTCATGGTGTGGCTCCATCCTCCCCTGACCTCAATCCTATTGAGAACCTTTGGAGAAAGTCATGGTGTGGCCTCCATCCTCCCCTGACCTCAATCCTATGGAGAACCTTTGGAGAAAGTCATGGTGTGGCCCCCATCCTCCCCTGACCTCAATCCTATGGAGAACCTTTGGAGAAAGTTATGGTGTGGCCTCCATCCTCCCCTGACCTCAATCCTATTGAGAACCTTTGGAGCATCTTCAAGCAAAAGATCTATGAGGGTGGGAGGCAGTTTACATCCAAACAGCAGCTCTGGGAGGCGATTCTGACATCTTGCAAACAAATTCCAGCAGAAACTGTCCAAAAACTGCCAAGTTCAATGGATGCCAGACTTGTGATCTGCTATCAGATAAGAGCTCCTATGTTACAATGTAACGTGACGCTTCAAATGTTTACAAAGTTACAATGTTGGCAAAAGTTGGATTGAAATAGCTTTTGATTTCAGTAAATTTGCTGCAAACACAACAAATGACAATTTTCAGTTCTTTACAACCTAGAAAGTGTTTGGAAACTTCCTGTGCGGAATAATCCGGAACACAAATCCTGTTATCATTAGGAGGTTTGTTCAATAAATGTGAATTGTCCTCTTCTAGTTGTCACCTGCCGACTTATTTACATCAATTATTGAGGGAAATGAGGAAATATCATCTGCAGAATCATCTGGAACACGGTGTAGTTGGGTCTTGCACCTGTGTACCCTCCCCCCTTATCTGGCCCAGGGGGTGTAGGAGTACTCACGCTGTCCTCTCCTGTTAGCTTAGTGGGTTGGTGGCTGCCTTCAGGCCTCCTTCTGGTTGGTGGCTGCCTTCAGGCCTCCTTCTGGTTGGTGGCTGCCTTCTAGAAACTTCTAAAGCTTCTAGAGCAAGGGGAGGTATCAGGGAAGTGACCTGCAGAGCCCTCAGCCCTGACCCAAACCCCTTTGGTGTACCCCCTTAGATCCCAGATGATTCCTCTTCTTCACCCAGCTGCCTGAGAGTATCTCTGGGCAAGGGTCCCAGAAGCTGTCAATTGAACAGTCCCGGATGAGAAGCTAGTTGGGTCTTGCAGCTGTCCACCCTCTCCCCTTATCCGGCCCGGGGGTGTAGGAGTACTCACGCTGTCCTCTTCTGTTAGCTTAGTGGGTTGGTGGCCGCATTCAGGCCTTAAGCTGGGCTGGCTCCTTCCCTGTTTCCCAGGCTGTCCTTTCTCAGGGGACAGTTGAGATCCTTTTTCATAGCTCCTGCCTGCAGGTAGGCCCCTCTCTGGGCCCCCTCCCAGGCTCCACACTCCAGCCTTTTCACATCATCTTCAACCAAACACTGACCTCAGCTGATCAGGCTTTCTCATATTCAAGGGCTGTCCTCACCCCATACCAAGCCTCCTGCTTGGGAATTGGTCAAGATCCCTTAGGTATGCAGATCAGCCCCTCCTCACCCCCACCCACTGCCTTCTAGAAACTTCTCAAGCTTGTAGAGCAAGGGGAGGTCCCCCCGGACCCTGCATTCACTATATCTGTTCTCCCACAGTACATGCAAATGCAATTATTTTAGTAAATATTAACTGCTAAATACCTTTCCTCATCAGCAGTTAGAGCAGTCTTGTGACTTCTATCAGTGCCTGGCCAAGCACTGGTTACAGCTTGTAGGAGGAGTTTTCATTCTCCTTTGACTCCCTCCCTCCTGCCCCCCCTGTACTGAGCCATCCTGTCCCCCTGTACTGTGCCATCCTGTCCCCCTGTACTGTGCCATCCTGTCCCCCTGTACTGTGCCCTCCTGTCCCCCCTGTACTGTGCCCTCCTGTCCCCCCTGTACTGTGCCATCCTGTCCCCCTATACTGTGCTGTGCCATCCTGTCCCCCTATACTGTGCTGTCCTGTCCCCCCTGTATTGTGCCATCCTGTCCCCCTATACTGTGCCCTCCTGTCCCCCCTGTACTATGCCCTTCTGTTCCCCCTGTACTGTGCCTTCCTATCCCCCTCTACTGTGCCCCCCCCATACTGTGCCTTCCTATCCCCCTGTACTGTGCCCCCCCCATAATGTGCCCTCCTGTCCCCCCTGTACTATGCCCCCCCATACTGTGTCCTCCTGTCCCCGCTGTACTGTGCCCCCCGTACTGTGCCTTCCTGTCCCCGTTGTACTGTGCCCCCCGTACTGTGTCCTCCTGTCCTCCCCCTGTTACTGTGCCTTCCTGTCCCCACTGTACTGTGTCCCCCGGTCCTGTGCCCTCCTGTCCCCCCCTGGTGTTGTGCCCTCCTGTCCCCCCTGTACTGTGCCCCCCCCATACGGTGCCTTCCTATCCCCCTCTACTGTGCCCCCCCCATACTGTGCCTTCCTATCCCCCTGTACTGTGCCCCCCCCATACTGTGCCCTCCTGTCCGCCCTGTACTGTGTCCTCCTGTCCCCACTGTACTGTGCCCCCCCGTACTGTGCCCTCCTGTCCCTGCTGTACTGTGCCCCCCCGTACTGTGCCCTCCTGTCCCCGCTGTACTGTGCCCCCCCGTACTGTGCTCCTGTCCCCGCTGTACTGTGCCCCCCCGTACTGTGCCCTCCTGTCCCCGCTGTACTGTGCCCCCCGTACTGTGCCCTCCTGTCCCCGCTGTACTGTGCCCCCCCGTACTGTGCCCTCCTGTCCCCCCTGTACTGTGCCCCCCCTTATTGTGCCCCCCTGTCCCCACTGTACTGTGCCCCCCCCCGTACTGTGCCCTTTGTGTTGATTAGTCTTTGATTTACGGCACATTTTCTTACTGTTTAAATGTGATTTCATTGAAAGGACTAATACATATATGTTTCATTCTATCAATTATTTATACTTTAATTCATGAGAGAAGGTGAATAAATTGTGGCAGGCTGGCAGGGGCCCCAGTGCGTTACTTTGCCCAGGGGCCCATGATGCTAATGAGACGGCCCTGATAGCAAGCTGCTTTTTATGGCGGCACACGTGAAGGCTCGCTTCTGAACTGT